CCGACCGACCTCATCATGGCCAGCCAGGAGCACCCATGTCTGCCCAGGCGCTCCTGACCGACCTCACCGAGGCCAGCCAGGAGCACCCACGGGACGACGATGACAGTTACCAGTCATACTGCACAGTCTGTCATCCGCAAGGCAAGGCAAGGGGGTGCTGCTGTGTAGTGCTGCAGCACCGCATCTGCCAGCAGCATCCAGTAGACATACGGTGACAGTGAAAAAAGGCGAGAAACAATTTTTTTCCCTTTGCTTTCACAGAGGGAGGGAGGGTGGGGGGCCTGATGACATATACCCTGAACCACCCGCGACAATGTTTTTGACCCTTCAGGCATTGGGAGCTCAACCCAGAATTCAAATTGTTTTCGGAGAGTGCAGGAACTGTGGGATAGCTACAGTCGTCAGTCGCCCCTCCCCCCGTGAGCGTCCATTTGATTCTTTGGCTTTCTGGTACGCTTGTCTCAGCTCCTTAAGTTTCACGCAGCACTGTGTTGAGTCCCTGTTGTGGCCTCTGTCCATCATGGCCTTGGAGATTTTTTCAAATGTTTTGGCATTTCGTCTTTTGGAACGGAGTTCTGATAGAACAGATTCATCTCCCCATACAGAGATCAGATTCAGTATCTCCCGTACGGTCCATGCTGGAGCTTTTTTTTTATTCTGGCTGTGCTGATGAGCTCTGCATGGTCATCTGTGCTGATCAGCGCTCCACACTGGGCAAACAGGAAATGTAAATTCAAATGTTCACGGGGCTTTTCCTGTCTACCTGGCCAGTGCATCCGAGTTCAGATTGCTGTCCAGAGTGGTCACAATGGTGCACTGTGGGATAGCTCCCGGAGGCCAATACCGTCGAATTGCGGCCACACTAACCCTAATTTGAAATGGCAATGTCGATTTTGGCGCTACTCCCCTCATCGGGGAGGAGTACAGAAATCGATTTTAAGAGCCCTTTATGTCGAAGTAAATGGCTTTCATTGTGTGGACGGGTGCAGGGTTAATTCGATTTAATGCTGCTAAATTCAAACTAAACTCATAGTGTAGACCAGGCCTTAGTCTCATATAAGAGGGGCTTTTTCTGTTTAGTTTGTCACTTTGCAAGGGATTAAAGTAAATCAAAAAATCTCACTATTTTATACTGGAATAAGTGTGTCCACATGGGGATTTAAACCAATATAACGATACCAGTACAACTGGTAAAACATTCTTGTGTGGACAAGTACTAACAGAATGGGAAAAAGGACGATCCTGCCACTGTTGCAGCTGGCAAACTAGCAAACCCCTTTTAAAGAGTGTATATGGCCAGAAATGTGATTGTTATTCTTACTCAACATACTAGCTTTGTGTGTGTGTTCAGTGTTAACGGCTTACTTGGATGATAAAAATAATGTTACTGTTTACTCTTGGTAGTACTGCAGAGTAATCCAGCTTGGGGAGCTGGAGTCTACTCTGGCTCGTGTATGATCATCAACCTAATTGTGGTCTTGTCAACATGGGGAAGTTATACCAGTGTAAGGGAGGCAGGGTGTGAATTTAAACCAATCTAGTTAGACTGGTATAACTACCCATGTGGACACTCTTATTCCAGTAGAAGAGGGCCTTTTTTCCAGTTTAATTTATGTCACTTTGGAAGTGTTTAAAGTAAGCCAAAAAGAAGCCACTCTTACTATGGAATAAGTGTATCCACACGGGGGAATTATACCAATATAACTATAGCTGTTTAACTCTACCAGTATAATTATACTGGTATAACTGGAAAAAAGCTCCACAGAGACAAGTCCCAACTTCCAGTTGTAGGGCCAAGTATTGCCCACATGTTTTACTTGAACCACCTTGTTGAAAACATAGAGAAAGTGTGACCCTACGAGTCCCTCAGTGCCCACTTGCAAAGAGTTCAATATCATATAACAGCAACTTCTATTAAGCCTGACAAACTTACTACATCTAACGCATTACAGTGACAATATTTATCTGTAAAGAATATTTTGTAAGATATCAGTTGAAAGCCAGTGACATACTGGTCGTTAATATCACTGTGAAAGGTGTGTATTAACACTGTCTGAGGAATTGCGCATATTTTTGATACTGTGCTTTGAAGTCTGTAATCAAAGAGAGAAACAGTTTTTTTTTTTTCAAGACAAGAGGGAGGACAGTTATCTCCCTGTCCCTAATGTAAATTGAGCATGGTGATGGCAGAGACAATGGACAGTTCATTTGCATCTGAGATAAACAGGAGGAGCAGGTTAGGGAGGATGTGAAATCAGCATGGGAAGACACTGGAGTCTGAACCCCAGGGGTCCATCCTGACTCTGGTGACAAAGACAATAAATTCTGGGGAATATAAGGAGAAGCAAAAAGACATTTTGATTATCACTGAGGGAACAAAGATGTTGGTGTTCTTTGCATTTGTGAATGGTGGATCCCCCACCATGTGGATTGGTGATGCTAAGAAGTGGCTGTAGGTGAGTGTGATGGAGTGTACCAACCCCACACTGGGCCAGCAGGGACAGACCAATCACTGTGGGCCCAGGAGGCCATGCCCCCTTTCCCCTGCTACGCATGCCTCAGGTGGAAGAGCCAGATAAAAGGAGGCAGCCCAGCCCAGTCGGGCTGGCTGAGGAGGAGGACCTTAAGAAAAGTAAGCAGTCATGGGATAAGAGGGAAAGGCCTCTCATGGATCAGTAACTGGTTAAAAGACAGGAAACAAAAGGTAGGAATAAATGGTCAGTTTTCGGAATGGAGAGAGGTACAGACGCTCCCTGACTTACGCAAGTGTTCCATTCCGGAACGCCTTGCGTAAGTAGAATTTTGCCTAAGTTGGGAACGTATACCCAACAATTACGCACGAGGGGGGGAAAAAAAAAGCTTACGGAACTTTTTCCGTAAGTCCGGATTTGCGTAAGTTGGGTTTGCGTAACCTGGGGAGCGTCTGTAAATAGTGGTGTCCCACAGGGATCTGTACTGGGACCATTGCTGTTCAACATATTCATTAATGATCTGGAAAAAGGGGTAAACAGTGAGGTGGCAATGTTTGAAGATGATACAAAATTACTCAAGATAGAGAAGACCAAATCAGACTACGAGGAATTACAAAGGGATCTCACAAAACCGGGTGACTGGGCAACAAAATGGCCAATGAAATTCAATGTTGATAAATGCAAAATAATACACGTTGGAAAACATCATCCAAACTATACATACAAAATGATGGAATCTAAATTAGCTGTTACCACTCAAGAAAGAAATATTGGAGTCATTATGGATAGTTCTCTGAAAACATCCGCTCAGTGTGCAGCAGCAGTTAAAAAAGCGAACAATGTTAGGAGCCATTAGGAAAGGGATAGCTAATAAGACAGAAAATATCATAATGCCACTATATAAATCCATGTTGTGCCCACACCTCAAGTACTGTATGTAGTTCTAGTTGCCCCATCTCAGAAAAGCTATATGAAAAATAGAAAGGGTACAGAGAAGGGCAACAGGCAGGTGTGTATTCTATCTTTTTGGAGACAACTAATTTGGTCATTCCTGTGAGAGTCAAGTGGCAGGCTGGATACGACAGAGGAATACTCTTCTGTGGGTACGGGAACTCTGGGCACCAAGCATTACCTGCAAGGCACAATAAGGGCTGTTGGAATCTTAAGTTTGTTTGGCTGTCTAACAGACTGGGGTGGCAGGGAGCTGTCAAACAGGTTAGCATCAACAAATCCCTCTTTTGCTAAAGCAGAGTGATAACAGGGTGGCTTACAGTTCTGGATGCCCTCAGAAAGCACCACAGAAGGACATGAGGGATTCAGGAAGCCCTTCTTTCTTTGTGGCATTAAGAGTATTTCCATTTTATTTTCAGCCCATTAGAACACTTTTGTGTTCATATGAAATTGCAGGAAATTCAAAGCTCCACGTGAATTTGTATTTGCTCTGCTTCTGCTGAAGGTTAATGCTGTGTAAGGTGTCAACCACTGTGTTGCATCATACAGAAGAGAGAGCTAACTTCTGAGCTAGTCTTTTAATTTCCCTCACACATTACAGAGCTTTACAGACACCAGCAATTAAATATGTGATGGTGTTTAGAGCACTCAATGCTAAACTTTCAATCAAGTACTCAATACTGTTTGTCATAAAATGTTGCAGTGTACATTACATGGAGTTCTTGGTTTAATCACTCAATAAATGGAAAGTATTGTGCAGCTCACTCTATTTGTTTGATTCTTTCCTGCCCTTCTTCTCTTTGTTTGTTGTTATATTGCAGGACCTGAATTGGGTGGTGAGTTCCCAGTGCAGGATATGAAAACTGGTGAAGGAGGGCTTCTGCAAGTCACGCTGGAAGGAATTAACCTGAAGTTTATGCATAGTCAGGTAGGAGGGAATCTTCCACAGGAGTATGTGAGCATGAAGCTTTTTGCAGCACCTCTGCATCAGTGTGTTTCCTCTTCCCTGCATCACCAAGGGGAAAGGGTAGGATGACAAAGGGGAATATGGCCTATATTCTGTAAATATTGAAATGAGAAATTCTCAGAGTGCAGACATCTATAATTACCTTTTTTTTTTTTTTTTTTTTTTTTTTTTTAAAAAAAA